GTAGTGACGTGACCTGGCCACGCCCCCAGCCGGTTTTAAAAGTCCGGCGCGATATTCCCCCATCCCTCTTCTCCACGCACGTGTCTTTCCCACAGGCCTGCACTTTCTGTCCCCTGTTTCTAATAAACTCTATAAGCGGATTCTGTCGTGTTTCGTGACGTTTCCTTGCAAAGGGTAAGAACACAACGCAGGCAAAAACCTAACAGTATGAGCGTTTCAGTTATACATCTATCTGTGCTCCACATACCTGCTATCTGCAGAGTGCAAAAAGAGGTCATTAGATCCCATGGAACTGGAGTTACAGATGGTTGTGAGCAGCCATATTGGGTGCTAGCAATCAAACTTTGATCCTCTGAAAGAGCAGCAGTCTTAACTGCTGAGACCTCTCTCCAACCAAGAAGTTATGTTCTTAACTCTAAGACTAGTCAGCCATGTGTGTTTAGTGCATCTGAAATCATCTTTCAATTCCATTCAAGGAGTTTTGACAGTTTTGGATATTCCTTTATAATTTAAACTGCCAGTGTGTAAACTTACAAAAAGAAACACGAACATTAAGCATATCGAACTATTGTAGCTAGTCTGTCATTTCAGCTACCTAAGAAGTCCAAATGGTTGATATGAAAAGAATTAAAGCAAAAAGAATCAGTTGTGTGATTCCAAGGTGTAGCAGTAGCAGGCTCCAGTACATGAATCGCCTTTCTCCATCACGGTAGACCAAGCCTATGGTAATCTGGGTTTGTCTAAGAGAGGGCCTTGAAATACTAAAACTAAATTAAGGGTGGTATCACATGTCTATAATCCCAGTACTTGGGAGTCTGGATTAAGAAGATCACTGCAAATTTAAGACTAGCTTCAGTTCCAGACCAGTCTACACTGTAGGTAGACATTGTCTCATTTGAAGAAGAAAAAAAGAAAAGAAAAGAAAAGTCAGATTATGCTCTGGGGTTATGGAGACGGCTCAGTAAATAAAGCATTTGCTGTGAAATCATGTGGAGACCTGAGTTTGAATGCCTAGAATCTGAATGAAGCCAGACTTGGTCATGTATGTCTGCAATCCTGGTGATAGGAGGTAGAGACAGGAAAATTCACAGCTAACCTGGCTTACACAGACGTGAACAGGGGGATCCTGTTTCTAAGCAGGTGAGAAGACAAGAACCAAGACCCAAGGTTGTCCTCTGACCTTCTCACCATGGAGCACACATGCCCACAGTCCCTCACACACAAACATGCATTTTACACACAATACTTAATGTACACATACAGATATATATTTTTTAATTAATCACTAGTTTGAGACAGCCTGTCTCACATTCTATCTTTTTCTATAAAATGTCCTACTTTTCTTCATGTGGGATACATTTCTGTTTGAAGGCCATCAGACCACCAAAGAAGGTAGGCTATATATTCAGGTTTGGCATATTGATAAAGATGATAGGTAACAAATAAGGTAAGTTAAGAACAAACTAGAAAGGTTTTTCAAGCGGTACAGAATATAATTTTAAGTACTGCAATTTCAAAATCACATATAGTTTAACTGGATTGAGTTAAATGGCTTTAATTTCCATGATTTTTTGAAAGAGCAGGAAAATAACATAATAATGGTAGAAGTAGAAGCTAAACTGCAGGCAGTGATCAACTCTAATTCCAGAAGAGTGTGTGTGACACCATCGTTTGATTAAATGTACAGCTAAATGGTCTGGGCATAAGAGGTCTAGATTGGGGATGGGGAGCTAATCAGGACACATAATCTGTATTTATCTTTCTATCACATGACCTAATATAATCATCAGGTGCAAACAATCTTCTAGTTTATGCATAAAATTGAAATGAATATTCTAGTTCAATCCAGGCTAGTCTCATCTCTTAATTGTTTTTAGAAATCACAGTTAGTATCAAATGCTTGATTCCAATAATTATGTTCTAAGATGGCATTATTATCTCCAATCATATGGTTGAAAGTCTTCAAAAAATGGTAACAGTTTAGACAAGAGAGATAACTCTGCTCAATAGTTAAGAGCACTGGCTGCTCTTCCAGAGGACACAGGTTCAATTCTCAGCACCACGTGGCAGCTCACAAGTATCTGTAACTCCAGTACCAGAGGATTTGATTCCCTTTTCTGGCCTTTATGGGAACTGCATGCTTGTGATGCACACACATCCATGAGGGCAAAACACCCATAAACATGAAAGAAAAACAAATGAAATTGCAAACACAAACAATAACCATCATTGTTTGATAAAGTTTATCAATATCACAAGCTTTGCATGTGAAGTTATAACAATGATATGGAATATTACATTGCTAGTGAGTATCAAGTCTTAAACATTTTTGTAGCTTTTAATCTATTAATATTCATCTCTCAAAATTAATGTTAGGAAAATAATTAAAATATGCTAGATGGCTGACATTTAAGAACATCTCACACAACATTAGGTATAGAAGAAAATGTTAGAAATGACCTCGATTTCTAGGTGCCTTTGACTCTGGTGCCAATCACTACCCACGTTTCAAGGACATTCACTATCCCTCAAGACATCGTGACTTCTTTTCCCAGCCTAGTCAGCTAGGTCCTTCGTAAGTCCCTGTATCTCCAGCTGTGCCTAAGTCAGCTCCTCTCCAGATTCCCACAGCAACTCAGATTTGCACCTCTCTGCTCAAAATAACTTGCTGTGCAATCTGTTTTCAATCTCCAATCCCTCAGATGCCTTCCCTT